ACTTATAGTTATTATATATAAAATTAAACTTATGTTATTTAACTACATACACATATTCAAAAAATATATTAGTAATAACAAATATACAGATATTATATTTTATTTTCAATTATTAATATGATAAAATAAGTTTATATGAATATTATGACATATTTTTTAGTAAAATATTATTTTTTACCAATAAATATTATTTTGTTAGGGGAATGAACTTAAAATAAAAAATTTTAAATATTAAATAATTTCGTTATAAATATTGTAACCACTTTTTAATTTTTTATTTTTATAGTTTTAAATGAAAATTATTAAGTATATAATATTTATTTGTAAACATGTATTATATTAGTTACCCTAATTATAATTGAAAGTAATAACCCATCAATATTTTAATTTATTATATTAAAATACAGCTTAATAACATAATTCTTAAATAAAATATAAGCTATATATGACAAAAAAAGATTATGAATAATACAAATTAGAACATGATTTCATAATTAAACTTAACAAACATCTTCACTATTTTCTTTTTATTTCACGATCCGATATATCATTTATTTCTAATTTTGTAAATAAAATGAGAAAATTAATTTCATAAATACTTTTGAATGATTTTATTTTTTTAAATTTTTAAAATATTCATAAGAACTTTTTAAATAATTTAAATGATAATTTTATAAATTATTCATATAATTTACAACTATATTTAATTTTTTGAAAATGCTTTTATTGGAGACAAATGTTGTCATGAAAAATAATTATACAAATTATTTTTAATTTTTAAATTATTTTTTATAAAAATACTTTCATTGTGACATAAGTCCACGCTTGGCGGCAACTATTAAAGGTTGCTATCAAAAATATACTTTTGGCGGCAATATTTAAAAATAGCCGTGAAAATTTTATTTTTTGTGCCACAACTTTTGGTGGTGACATATTGTCACTGCCAAAAGACCACTTTTAGTGGTGACTTTTTCGGTCGTCATTAAAAGTTGCCATAAAAAATTATTTTGTTTGTAATGTAGGGGTGTTGTAAATTGTTTTTTTGATAGAAAATTGTTTCTACAATAAAATTTCATTGTTTATTTACTTTTTGAGATCACTTGTTTGATTCACAATCATGACACCAAATTAAGCTCTATTAATGTACAACTTTTAAAGGTTGACCAATGATCATATGTTAAATTTCTGTTGAGTTTATGATCCTTATCAATAATAGATCATTGACATAGACCAATAGGGCCTTAATTTATTAATTTTTATGACTGCTTGCTATTTGAGGCCATAGGTAAGGAATCCCAATGAGGATCTTCCAAAATTGTTGCATGAAGATCTCCTCCTGTGTGTCACAATTCAGGAATTAATGCATTCTGCTGCACGTTAAGATGGTATATATTCCAATTTCATGATAAAGCTTAGGGAGATAAAGTATAATTTGAATTGAACCATACAAAAGGAGAGTACTAACTAAGAGTATGTTGGGTTTTTAGTTCAAAAACTATTTTTTTCCTTAAACAAACTCATTTGCATCAGTATTTTGAATTTAATTGTTTTCAAAATATTCTCATTTTTGTTTTTAAAGACAAAAAAAAAACAAAATATCTTAAAGTTTTTTTTTTTTGTTTTCAAAACACATTACATTAATTATTGAAAAATATAGTTAGCTTGACCAATTTATATCGTAAACACCACAATTAATCATCTATGCAACCATCATTATTTGCTTATTTTTTAATTGTAATTTTTTTAAATTAGCATAACTAAACAGAATTTCCTTTTGCTTTTGTTTTGAAAAACAATTCTAAAATTTGTATTACAAAATAATTTTTAAAAACAAAAAAGGGGAACAAAAAAACAAGCCCTAAGTAAACATTCAAACTGAAACTATTACCTCTTATTACTTCCTACCATATGGTTCCATTGTCTCACAATCTATTGTGTCTTTCACGTTTAAGCAATTCTTTTTTTTTTCAATTTTCTTTTTGGATTACATTAAGAAGATTTGAAAACTTGACCACCACGTAAATCCCATCCTACTATGCCATTTGAACTAGTCCCAAGTGACTACTCTTTATCCAACTTAGAAGCTATGCCAATCCAACTTGAAAACATATATACTAGCCATGTTTTAGCATAGAAACTATCCACATGACATTTGTACCATTTATTATTATGAGTAACAATATGTTTTTACTCCTACTCTATTTAGTCACCATACGTCCTTAATTTGCATGTCTGTCAAATTTCTGTATCATTGTAAATCTAGCTTTCACATTCAATCATTATCATCATTGTGCACTAATTTCATAGCCAAGATCTAGATAGCAAGATAGACTAACCATATTTCCTCATATCCATGTTAGATGGAGGGTTTCCTTCTTGACCTTGCAAAGGATCAAGTCTCAAATTTGGTGAATCTAGTGAAAAATGAAGTTCAATATTTATGCTGTTTCAACAGTTATGTTGAAAATTTTTGTAAAGAAAGGGAAAGGTTGCTTGCAAAGTGCAAGGATATCAACATAGATATAGGAAAAGCCAAAGGTGCTTCAAAAGTCACAAATGAAGTGCAGCAGTGGGCAAGTGAAGCAAATGGTCTCATTAACTATAACATTAAAGCAAAGAAGTGCTTTTTTGGCTTATGTCCTAATTGTTGGTGCCAATATCAGTGCGGCAAGGAATTTGCACAAAAGACTCTACAAATAGAAGACCTCCTCAAAAGATGTAATAACTTGAGCATAGTGGCAGGTCAAGTGGATGTTTCAAGTATAAAATACTATTCACCACAAATCTTCCTTGATTTTGAGAGTAGAAAGTCAAAGTTCCAAGAGCTAATGAAGGCATTAGAAGATGAAAATTGTAACATGGTTGGATTACAAGGCCTAGGGGGAACAGGAAAAACCTCAATGGCATTAAAAGTCGGTGAAAATCTTGAAGGATCTCAATTTGACAAAGTTATCTTTCTTTTTGTGTCTAAGCCTCCTGATTTTAAAAACATTCGACATGAAATTGCAAGACATTTAGATTTGAAATCAAATGATGACAAGGAGGAAGAACTCTCGAAGAGAATATGGTCCAAAATCACTAGTATGGAAGAAAAGCTACTTGTAATACTAGATGATATGTGGGAAGAGTTTGATCTCAAGAAAGAGTTAGGGATTCCATCTGTTCTCCAGCGTAAGGGTTGCAGTGTACTAATAACTACACGCAACTTAAACATTTGTCAAAATATGGGATGCCAAAAGACAATTCAACTAGAGAAGCTACATGAGGAAGATGCATTGAAGCTTTTCCATATAAATGCTAGTATTAATAATTCCACCATTTCTAAGAGTCTAGTTCAAGATATTGTGAAGCAATATGGAGGAGTACCAGTTGCAATTGAAGCAGTTGCAAGAATGTTAAAAAATTGGCCTCCCAATGATTGGAAGATTGCTTTGAAAACCTTGAAGAGTTCTAAGTCAATACTTGATGTCAATGATGAAAATTTAAAAGATGTTGATAAATGCTTGAAGTTAAGCTATGACAACTTGAAGAAAGAAAAGGCCAAAGAACTCTTTTTGATATCTTCCATGTTCCTAGAAGATGAAGAAATTCCTGTTCAAGTTTTAAGCAAGATTGGTATAGGGTTAAGCTCTTTTGGAGAAAATGACAAGGATTATTCAGAAAAAATATTGGAAGTGCATGCTGCTATAAGGGAACTCACAAGTTCTTCTTTGCTGTTAAGTAGTGAAAGAGATCTTGTGAAGATGCATGATTTGGTTCGTGAGGTGGCCTTGAGGATAGAAGACAAATATATTCAATCAATCACGGATTTGAAAAAGCCTATAAAAGAGAACTTGAGATATTTGCTTTGGAAGAATGATAACTTTCCTGATGAATTTAATGGAAAGAAATTAGAGTTCCTATTAATCTTTTTAAGTGGTTCAGAGGATTTAGATCTCTCAGAAACATTCTTTAATGAGATGAGAAGTCTCGAAGTCTTCATTTTAGATCGCTATAGTTATTACCCAAGAATTCAAGTCCTATCATTGGCAAATTCACTTCAATCATTAAAGGAGATTCAAACACTCATCTTGAAAAATTTAGAGTTAGGAGACATCTCTATCTTAGGAAACTTGTTGAGTCTAGAGACTCTTTGGTTTTATGATTGTTCAATCATTAAATAACTAATAGAATTTTTGAAATTAAAGAAGTTAAGATCATTGGAGGTAGAAGAATGTGAAATTGAAGAAATAATCCTTTTAAAGTGCTTGAAAGATGATCACAATTAGAAGAATTAATTTTTATTGGCAATAGGTGTGATGAAGAAGAAGAAGAAGATGCAATTTCTTAAAATGGATCTCCTCTTACATTACAAAAATATTGTATATCTTCTAATCATCTTTCATATTATTTTCAAAATCATGGTTCCATGTTAAGATGCTTTATAATAGACGAACTAAGTCATTTAGTCTCAGATGCAACATTTAAGAAACTTGTGAAAAGAGCCGAGCTTCTTATCTTGGAAGGAGAGCATGAACAAAGAATATGGAAGAATCTTGTCCCTGATCTTGTTGCAATAGATGAGGAAGAAACATTGAATGATTTGATTATTCTTCATTTGAGCTCATATCCTCACATGGAGTGTCTTGTAGATACTAATGGTCATAATTCTGGTGTGACTGCTTTTTGTAATTTGGTTGAACTACACCTCTCTAGAATGGACATTGAAGATTTATTTTCGGGTTCTCAACCGTCTAGCTTTTTGGAGCAATTAGAGATCATGAGGTTGAAGGAGTGTTAAAAATTGAGGAGCATATTTTCCAAAGGCAACTTCAACTTATGTCATCTAAAGTCTATAGAATTGGAAGATTGTCCAATGTTGACAATAATTTTCCAACCATGCACAGCTCAAAGTTTGAAGGAATTGAAAGAATTAACAATTAGAAATTGCAATGAGCTTGAACACATCATAGTGGGTGAAGATGGCAACAGTAATCAAAAGAGTTATGACTCATTGTTCCCAAAATTAATAACTTTTCAAATCAAAGGGTGCAACAAATTAAGAGTAATATTTCCAATCCTATATGCTAGAGGCCTTCCACCTCTAGAAAAGATAGGTATATATGAGAGTGAGCAGCTGGAATACATATTTGATAAGTTACAAGAGGGGGAAGATGCTATGCTCCCTTTACTGAAAGAGATGGAACTTTGTGGAGTACCAAGACTAAGTGGAATTTTTAGAAACTATGAGCAACTCAAGAGTTCATCAATGCAAAAGCCATCATCTCCACTTTCAAGACATAAGTCCAACAAGATACATCAAATTCCTACCACATGTGCTCTCTCTTGGGTTCGAGCATGTTGTTCTCTCAATAAATCGAGGCCAGCTAGTGAAGAGACTAATCTTATTGTTTCTCATCATGGACCACTTGACCGCACACACCTAATGGTATGCTGCATTTGCCTTACTATTTTCGTTCAAGTGTCTCATATATATATATATATATATATTGTTCAAGGAATAGAAATGTAAATTGCCAGTTATTTCAAAAGAAGAAAAATGGTTCACAATTGAACAAAGTAAGGTTTGAACATTGAAAATATCTATTATATGAATTGCCATTATTTAAAGGTAATTTGAAATATTTTTGGATGCATAATTGAGTTAATTTGTAATAAGATTTTACAAGTGCATTTGTTAAAAATCTTTTTGGTAAAATGGTAAGACTATAAATACCCACACATGTATATATCTGCGTGCTTGTGTCTAGAACTATAACATCAATTGAGTATAATTAAATACATATAAATATAACTAACATACTATATATATAACCGAATAAAAAGTTTTCATGTATATTTGATAATTAAATGAAGTGCTATTTTCATAGATTCCATATCTCCATGCATTTCTTAAAAAACTTAAATTAAGTGGTTCAATTGTTGAATAAAAATGTCTATTTGCAGGGATTATTCGCATCAAAGAAATGGATAGATACTGCTGCTATTATTGGTGGACAACTATTCCTTGTTGTCATATCAAGAAGATGAAACTTGCAGACTTCTCCTTAAATTCAAAATCAACATTGTTCACTTTATCCATGGCATCAATGATATTGTGGGAAGAATTGACAATAAAAAAATGTGATGGATTGAAGCACTTGGTAACCAACGATGAAGATGATTATAAAGATCAAAAAAACTATAGTTCCATTTTCCCAAACTTGAAAAAGCTAAAAATCAAGGAGTGTAATGACATGGATTTTTTATTTCCATCCACAATATCATTAGAAATTAAAAATTTGAGGTCTTTGATGATTAGAGATGCTCCTAAACTAACACATATTGTTGGGTAGTACCATCATGAGGATCTTTCAGCAAATCAAAATCAACAAAATGAGCAGCACTTTGATCTTCCTACTTTGGAGTTCCTCTGCTTTAAAGGTGTGCCAAGTATGATAAGCATTTGTGTCCAGAATTATTATTTCTTGGTATCGCCATCTCTTCATACTATTTTTTTGGACAATTGTGGCATCATATCTTTTACTGATTTGATCATTTGTCCAAGTGAAGAATGCTTGAATTGGGAAATCACAAAGGTAACACTCTTTTTAACTTACTGGTATTTGTTTTGCTTTGTCCATCATAAATGACTCTTTTTGGTTAACAAATTAGATCTCTATTATTTTTCCCAATTTTCTTATTATACTACATGATTAATGCCTTTTTTCTTTTTAAAATCTCACTTATTGTCTTAATTTACTTGATATATGTCTTGATTTGTTTATTATAATAGTTTAGGTTATATAATTAAAACTGATAATATGGGCCAGCTCGCGAGTTATGGGTTGGCCTACAGTAGGTTTTGGGCTTGGTGGAACGAGTTGGTATAACCCACATCCTATATGGTCTATATATCGACCAACCCACATTTATGGGCTAACCTACCAATAAAAAATGCTTTACTGTTTTTTTAGTGTTTTTTACAGTAAAAAAATATATTTTACATAAAAACTAATTATTAAAATAACAAAAAAAACCCCTTCTAAATCCTTAAAAAAACACAATACAAATTTAAAATACATTAATACAATCCAAAATAAATATATATACTATCAACAAACAAACATAGTAAAATGTTTAAATTCATAATATTAGAGGCTTTATTAGAAGTTGATATAACATTAGTTTGAGTAGATTTTTTCAAAGCTTCATTTGCCACAAACAAACGAACAAAAAGTATTTTCCTGTTTTTCTTCTGGAAAAAGTGGCAGGAAGGGGGGAAAAATATACAGTTATATGGTCTGCGAGAAAGGTGGAGTTATGTTTAATAATTACGCTCCTTCTCTCTGTTTTTTTTAATCTCTTTCCAAATATAACATTTAATTTTATGAAATTAGAAGATTTGGACTCCAAAAATAAAATGAATCCCATACACTTCCATTTTTTTGTATCATTTCTTTTACAAGTTATAACATTAAGTACTAGTGTGGGTCGTCAAATTGAAAAAAAAAATAGTATCTTTTCACGCCGTCTTCAAGAATGACAAAATAATTTTGGCAAAATATCTAAAATATTTATTTTAGATTTTTATTAAAAAATGGACGAATAAAAATAACTTGGTTAGAAGAAATGTTAATAAAATCGAGATGTGAAAAATTATTTGTGTAACATGTTTTGTTTAAAAATTTGAATGTATTGATTTTTGGAAGAAAAAAATAAGTGGACTAACCCACTAACTTACAAGTTAGCTCATTACGGGTTCAAGTTATATAATGTGGGCCAAACCCAACCTGCATTTAAAGAAACTCATTTTTTTTCAACCTAACTTGCCTTTTTTGGCAGGTTGAGCCCATGGGCTTAACCCATATTATGAGCTTTAATATAATCTGATATAATAATTTACTAGAGCTAATTTTTTCTTTTAATGACATAATATTCATATGTTTGATTTATTTAGGATTGTTCAAAGTATAGCATGGTGACAAAAACTATTTTTTAAGATTTTAAATTTGATGAAGGAAAAGAGAAATATGGCAATTATATTAATATGACAACAAAAAAGTGAACAAATCAAAATTTGACCAAAATGACGGCTTTTTGACAAAATATAACTAATTACTAAACACTAGTTAAACTTGAAAATGAATTTTGTTTATTGTTTGGTTTCAATTTATTTGTCAGCAGGAAACAAACGTATCCAGAGATGGAGTCACCAACTTACAAGCAGTCCAAGGCCCATTAACTCAATCATTGAAAAATATAAAGGATATGAAACTCCAAAACTGTTCAAAGCTTATATCATTGTTCACTCTACCGACTGCCTCAACGATTTTGTTAGAAAATTTGACAATCCAAAGTTGTCACCAACTGAAGTACATTGTAGAAGTTGAAGATAATGCTCATGTTTCCACGAAATGCCGCTCCATTTTTCCAACTTTAAAGAATCTAGAAATTGATGATTGCAAAGGGTTGGGATTTTTATCTCCTTCCTCATTACCATTATCTGTGCAACTTAAGAGTCTCAAATCTTTGACTATCAAGGGTGCTTCTGAGCTAAAATGTGCTATTGGGAAATACGAGCATGAGGATCATTTATCCAGTCAAAATCAACATCATGAGATGCACTTTGATCTCCCAGCTTTAGAGTTCCTTTGCTTTCAAGATGTCCCTAATATGGTAAGCATTTGGATAATGAATAATTTTAGATTTGAATACCGCCATCTCTTCACACTGTTTCTCTGGATCATTTTAGATTAATTGTTTGTCTTGAAATCTTAGGCATTGGCTGTACAATAAAATACTACAGACATTTAAAACAGAACAATTTAATTTGTTCTTAAAACTGTTACAAAAAAAAAAGGAAACATTATCAATCAATTATTTAAATTAACATATAAAATTACGTCATTCAGTACCAAATATATCTTATATTTCTATTTTCTCCCTATCCTAATTTGCTTGTCTTTTCTAAAAATCGTATATTTTTGGATGTTACTTTTTCATTGATAGATATGATGAATAGAAAAAGAAATTAATGCAGAAATTATGTGTGTGTGTATGAGTATATATTACAATATGGAATTTTCACAAGAATTAAAAGAAAATAGAAAAAAGAAAAGAGATTAAAAGATAGACCTTAAACTAATAGGTTAAAATGAAATTTTGGTCTTCTAATTTTATATAAAGTTTCAATTTATTTTTTAATTTTAAAAATATATTTTCATTCATCTAACCCTAACACCGTTAGTTTTAAATGATTATTTTGTGTCAATTATTGTTATTTTAAAAAAATTAAACTTAATATGTTAATATTTGAAAATGTTTTGTTAATATTTAAAAGTTTAATATATAAATTTGTTGTAATCAAACTAATGATATTGGGATTAAAAAACTAAAAAATACTTTATAAAATTAAAAGATCAAAAAGAAACCTTATGTAAAGTTAAATGACTAATATTCTTCTAAAATAATTTTTATATGCAGATTTTATTGATTATTTTGTGCATTGATATGCACATAATTTATGTATTTGTAGGGGCTAGATTTATCCACAAATGCAATTCATCGAGCTTTTCAAGCTACTCAAAGCCTCACTATGCAATCCTTGATCAACATTAAGAAGATGGAACTCTTGAATTGTGACAACTTAATATCATTGTTTGCTCTACATGATGCCCCAATCCTTTCCTTGGAAGAACTGACAATCATAACATGTCATCAACTAAAATGCATTGTAGTAGATGAGGGAGGTCTTACAACTCATATGAATCACAAATCCATCTTTCCAAAGTTGAAATGACTAGAAATTTTAAAATGCAATGCAATGGAATATGTGTTGGGAAGTAGCTCTCATGATGACAATTTATCTCATCATAATCAAAATATCAAAACTTGCATTGATTTTCCTGCTCTGGAAAATCTAAGGATATATGATGTGCCAAAACTTGTTAGCTTGTGTCCTAAGAACTTTTGTTTGAGAGGGTTATCTTTGGAGGCCATTCACTTGGATATTGATAGTACTTCTATGTTTAGCATCAGATCTTTAAATGATTTTATGTTTTGTGATCATGCAACACAACAAACTCCGCCTATGTTTATAGCCGGTCCCAAGCCCGGGTAAAGGAGGAGGGTTGTGTTAGGCCATCAACAGCCAATGTAAAAATTTGTTGAATCTATCATAAACATGGACAATAGACATTATAATGTTAATGCTAGGTCGTTGCCCGTAAGTAACGCGCTGCATGGCTCGAGTACAGTGATAAGTGAGTTAGAGCCGCTGCATCGGCGCCCGGATGTAGTGTTAAATGAGCAAGGGCTACCGCGTCATTTTGGACGCACGCGGCTAAAGAAGTTAGTCCATAAGAGCAAAATTAGATTTGATACTTGGAATGTTGGGACATTAAATTGTAAATCTGTAGAGGTTGTAGGGGTTATGATTCAAAGGAAAATCAATATCCTTTGCTTGCAAGAAACAAAATGGCGTGGAGAAGGAGCTAAGGATATTCAAGGTTTCAAACTTTGGTATACAGGAAAAGTAAGTGCACGCAATGGAGTAGGCATCATTATAATAAGGAGTGGAAGAAGAACGTTGTAGAAGTTAGCAGAATTGGAGACAGAATTATTTCTTTAAAAATGATAATTGGACGTGAGACTGTTAATATTGTTAGCGCTTATGCGCCGCAAGTCGGGACAGAAGCCAGTCTTAAGGAATTATTTTGGGAGGATCTGGAGGGGTTGATTCGACACATACCACAGAGTGAAAAGATTTTTATTGGAGGAGACTTTAATGGGCATGTCGGGAGGAAAGCTGGTCAGTATGCGAGGGTGCATGGTGGTTTTGGTTTTGGAGAGCTAAACAATGAAGGGCAAACTCTTCTTGATTTCTCATTGGCATATGATTTTAAGATTGCCAACACTTGTTTCAAGAAGAGAGATGAGCATCTCATCACTTACAAAAGTGGAGCCTCAAGGTCGCAGATTGATTTTCTTTTGGTTAGGAACACAGATAGAAAACTTTGTAAAAATTGTAAGGTGATCCCTGGAGATGCTGTAACGACACAACATAGGGTCCTAGTCCTTGATGTGTGTATTATGAGTAAAATCCAAAAACGTCGACAAGTAGTAACATCAAAGATTAGGTGGTGGCAATTAAAAGGTGAGAAGCAAGATATTTTCAAGCGAAATCTTTTGGATAAAGGAATTTGGGATTCTCAGGGAAGTGCTAACATCATATGGGAGGATATGGCTAAAAAGATACGGGAGGTTGCAAAAGTAGTTTTGGGAGAATCGAAAGGTTCTGGTCCGAGAGATAAGGAGTCTTGGTGGTGGAATAATAGTGTACAGGACAAAATCAAGTATAAGAAGAACTGTTTTAAAGCCATACATTTGTGTAACAATGAGGAAAATTAGGAGAGGTACCGTATGGCTAAGAAGGAAACTAAGAGAGCTGTGGGTGAAGCTCGTTCCAAAGCTTTTGAAGAATTTTATAAGAACCTTGAGACGAAGGAAGGAGAGCAAAATATTTATAAGATTGCCAAGAGTAGGGAAAGAAAATCAAGAGATCTAGAACAGGTAAGGTGTATTAAGGATGAAGAGGGAAGAATTTTAGTTACAGATGATGAAATTAAAAATAGATGGGAGACTTATTTTTCTAAACTTTTCAATGATGGAGAGGATTCATCTAGTAACTTGGAGGATTTAGTAACTGGTGAAGGAGAACAAAATTTGTCATTCTATCGAAAAATACGTGATAAGGAGTAAAGGAAGCTCTTAAGAAAATGGCAAATGGTAGAGCTAACGGACCTGATTGTATATCTATCGAAGCGTGGAAATGTTTAGGTGAAGAAGGGGTGAGATGGTTAACTAAGTTATTTAATGTGATTTTACGGTCCAAGAAAATGCCTGATGAGTGGAGGAGAAGTACATTAATTCCTATTTATAAAAATAAAGGAGATATTCAGAATTGTACTAACTATAGAGGGATTAAACTCATGAGCCACACAATGAAATTGTGGGAGAAAGTAATTGAGCACAGGTTGAGATTGGAGACAAGTATTTCTGAGAATCAATTTGGTTTTATGCCAGGTAGATCAACTACAGAGGCAATTTATCTACTAAGGGGATTAATAGAAAAGTATCGTTGTAAAGATAAAGATCTACACATGGTTTTTATTGATTTGGAAAAAGCTTATGACCGTATACCAAGAGAAGTGCTTTGGAAAGCGTTGGAAAAAAAGGGAGTACGGATTGCTTATATTAAAGCCATACAAGATATGTATGAGGGGGTAAAAACTAGTATAAGAACGCCTAGTGGTCAAACAAAGGATTTTCCTATAAAGATTGGACTACATCAGGGATCATCTCTGAGTCCTTATTTGTTCAACTTGATTTTAAATGTTTTGACGGAACATATTCAAGAGGAAATCCCGAAATGTATTCTCTTCGCGGATGATATAGTTCTTATAGCAGAGACAAGAGAAGAGGTTAATTGCAAACTTGAGTTATGGAGGAGGACATTGGAGTCGAAAGGTTTTCGTCTGAGTAGAAGTAAGACGGAATATTTATATTGTAAATTTGGTAAAGGACTATTCGAAAATAATTTGGAAGTGAAATTGGGAGATCAAATCATACCTCAAGTGGAAAAGTTTAGATATTTGGGAGCCATTATTCAAAATGATGGCGAAATCAGTGGAGATATTTCACATAAAATTCAAGCTGGGTGGTTTAATTGGAGAAAAGCTAAAGGAGTTATTTGTGACCGTAAGGTGCCTAATAAACTTAAAGGAAAGTTTTATCGTACTGCTATCAGACCGGCAATGTTATATAGTAGTGAATGCTGGGCTCTAACGGGACAGCAAGAGCATAAAGTTGGAGTAGCAGAGATGAGAATGTTACGATGGATGTGCGGACATACACGTAAAGATAAAATTCGAAATGAGCACATACGTGAAAAAGTGAGGGTGGCACCTATTGAGGAAAAAATGGTAGAAAATCGGTTGAGATGGTTTGGGCATGTACAAAGAAGACCAAGGGAGGCACCAGTGAGAAGAGTGGAACATATAACTTTGAGTCCGATTAAGAGAGGTAGAGGAAGGCCTAAGAGAACACTCTTGGAAGTTGTTGAACGTGATTTCTTAATTAATAATATTTCTAAAAGCTTAATAAATGATAGAGCACAATGGCGTCTTGCAATCCATGTAGCCGACCCCACCTAGTGGGATAAAAGCTTGTTGTTGTTGTTGTTGTTGATCATGCAACACAACAAGACTCCACAACCACAAAGGTATGACTCTACTTTAACTTCTCTCCTAGTCTTATTAGTAATTATTTTGAACAATCCTAGTAGATGTTATTTGATAATTTGAGTCATGATTTCATATATATATATATGCATTACAAATTAAAATTAAAAAAATATTTTATTTATTTACACTAATTAATATTGAATTTAAAAAAATGGTGAAGGACGCCTCTGTTTTGCACGTTCGTGGTTGAATTTTTAATCACTTCACACATTCACATATTTTAACGTTAATGGTAAGTTAAGTTTAATTACAATTGCCCACAAAATTTATTAACATATTAATGTTGAAAGGTGAGAATGACATATACTCCTCTTTCCCATTCAATGAGTCCTAGCTAATCCCCATTTTTTCAGAAAATAGAGTCTTGTTAAATTCTCATTTGCTTAACACATTTATGCGTTTCAGTGTTAATGTTTTGGTTTATTAGCTTTTCCATATTTGGCTAAGGATAAGAAGCATATTGTCATGCTATCAAGTTTATCTAATTCAATAATTGTTACCATATGAAATGGAATCATGATCTGAACATCAATACTCTCCTACTATTACTAATCCATTAATAAGCAAGTCTTCGCAACTGCCTGTTAACGGCCATGATTAATAGCTAGTAACATATGTGACTCTTTTAACCTATGTTAAAAGCTTTGTCTAATATTTGAGATGAAAATGTCCATGTACGATCAGTATAAATAGGTTTCAAAAGTTGTGCAAGGATGGTCAAGCAATAACAGAGTAATTTCCTCCTATTTGATAGTGTTTAATTATCACTTGTTCTTTTGAGTTTCTATACCACCATATCTCAATAAACAAATGCTTTTTTCACTATTTTTTTTATTTTTTATTAATTGAGTAAGAATAATTTTATATACTTTAATTTAATTTGATTCTTTCTTCCTCCCCTATTTTTTATGATGTTAAAATGATAAAGGACAATTGCCTCTATTTTTCATGTTTAACAATGCTAGTGTTGCAATCACTTCACACATTCACATATATCAGTGTGAATGGTAGGTTAAATTAGATTACAATTACCTACAAGTTTATAACATATTAAATGTTGAAAGGTGAGCATCACACACTCGCCTTCCCCATTCACTGTGTCATTTGTTAGTGCCTTTTTTTTTTTTTTTTGCAACAAAACAGAGTCTTGCTGAATCATATTTTGAATTCACTCAACACATTTTTGTGTTTCAATGTTAATGTTTGGTTGATTAGCTTTTTCATATTCTATCAAGGAGAAGGAGTATACTGTTATGCTAGAATATGTTTGATCTAATCCAATAATTGTTATCAGATCTTAATATCAAATGCTTTTATCTCTAATTTTTATGATTAAAAAGATGTGAAAATTTTTAGAAAATAAAGATTTAAAAAAACTCTTTTTAGAAATGTAAATTTGTTACCAATGACTAATATTGCGGTATGGAGGAAGTATGTGTTTTTAGTGTTAATGATTGGGCAATTAGATTTTCCATAGTTTGTTAAGAATAAGGAGTATTTTTGTTCTACTTGTAGGATGATTTAATTCAATAATTGTTGATGGATCTTAATATCAAATTTTTTCTCTAATTTTTATTTTTTTATTAATTTGTTGAGAATAATTTTATTTACTTCAATTTAATTTGATTATTTCTTCCTCCCTTATGTTCTATAATGTTAAATTGGAATGTGATATTGATGTTGTGTCTTTGTATTTTACAGGCAACTAAGATATGCTTGCATGCTTTGAAAAGGCTTAAAATAAAAAATTTCAAAATAGAAGAGATTTTCAACTTGAAAAATCTGGACGCAAAGAAAAATGAAAAAAGACTTGAACCCTTAACATCAAGTTTACAAAAATTGCTGTTGACAGATTTATGGGAGTTGAGGAATATATGTGTGAGCCCCAAATACATTCTAAGCCTCAACAATCTCTCTGTGTTGGTAATCAGAGGATGCAAAAAGCTTGAAGTTGTCTTCTCTACCTCTACATTGAGAAGCCTACCACGGTTACAGTGGGTATAGATATGGGAATGTGAAGAATTAGTTGAGATCATTGAAGAGGATAATGAGGAAAGTGCTGGAGATCATTTCCCTCATCAACCATGCTTCCCAAAGTTAGAACTGCTGAGTGTTGAGGGCTGTCACAAGTTGAAGTATTTGTTCTCTATCACAAGGTCTGGTACCTTTCCTCAACTACAGGTTTTGCAGATAGGAGGTGCCTCCTCCCTCGAGCATGTGCTGATTAGACCAGATGCGTCGAAAGAAATGGCCAAGAAGGAACTGCTTCCAAAGCTAAGATGTGTAAAACTGGAAAGAAATCCAAGCCTCATGAACATCTGCCATGGGATTGATTTTCAAAAATTAAAAAATCGCTCAACAGTGGATAACTGTCCAAAATTTTCTTTTCATGGTATGCATTCAAACATTCAAATTGAAAACTATTATTATGTGATCATCATAACATGACATTGGAAAACCTTACTTGCAGAAACCATCGCTACTCAGCATCAAGATGGCCGAAAGGATCTTGATTCCAATGTTGAGGCAAAAATAGAGGAGAAGGTTTCTTCACATCCAAATACAAATCAGTCAGGCACGGGAGATACCAAAGAGAGCCCAAGTTTGAAAATCCAACAATCCCAAATTGGTTCACCAAACTTCACAAGGGTATGTCTTATTTCACCACCTTGTGGACATAATCATGTTTGCGACAGTGTTTTAGCTATAAAATGCCATTAACAACTGATATATATTCTATATATTTTAAAGTTATCTTGTGAATAGATACATATTTTTTATATAATCTAAAAGTTGGTAGAAAATATTGTAGCTAATTATATTCTAATACTATTTCACAAACATGATTATATCTACAAGCGTGTAGTACATGCTATCAAAGTATAAAATTATCAAATTTCTCTGTTTTAAAATTATCTTCTGAGACATGATTTATTTTTAATCCAAATAATGGAAGCAAAAATATTGAATTTGATGAGATATTTATATAAGAAATCAAAAAAAGTTATTTTATTGATGAATTCCGCATGACTAAAACTTTTACAATGAATATTGGTTTGGGCACTAGGGAAAAAAGAAAGAAATTGTTGAAGAGGATGTTATTATTGAAATGCCAAAATTGATAAATTTACCATCTGATTCAAAAGCCATTGATCAACCAATATGTGTTTCCTAATCTGGTCTCTTCACTTTATTTTGTACCTAGCAATAGAAAAGGGGGGATCAACTATTGAGTACTCTTATTTATTTTTTATCTAAAATCATAAAGAAGCAAGTGCTCAAATGACCTTGAGATAACTAATATTCACATGTAGAACATCTCCAAAAGTGAAATTATTATTATTTTAAATATATTATAGGTTTTATGCCTGATGGCTATAACTTATGCATGATGCTTTAATCATCTTTATGTAGGATGAGTTGGTTGGCAAAGAAATGCCAAAAGAAAAACTTATGATGGATCCGCAATAACCCAGAAATGGTAAACCAAACTTGGCAAAGGTATATTTCATGGTATTTCATTACATGAGATTTGTTTTAATTCAGATAATTTATCTTCTAAGACATGATTTATTTTAATCGAAAACAAAATACGTTAAATTTGATATTTTTATATAAGAATCCAACAAAACTAGATGTAGAACATTTTATTTTACTATTCGATGTGGCTAAACTTTTTGTTATTTTTGTTGCTTTGGGGACAAAGGAAACAGCAAGAGAAATTGTTGAAGAGGATGTTATTACTAATGAGATGCCAAAAATGTCAAATTCACTCTCTGATTCAAAAGCCATAGATGAACCGGTATGTATTTTCCAATTTGATCTGTTTATTCAGTTTCTTTTACATCTATTGGACGATGGTTGGAGCAAAAAAAAAAAAAAGAATGAAATTTCCTCGAAACAAAACAATATAAAGCAAAATAAAAACAGGGCTATTAACTAAACAAATTCACCCCTTTTATGTAGAATAAATAAACACAACATTCACCATATTGATCCAGAGAAACAACTCTCACACACCGCTCAATCTCATAGCCGTTTCAAATCAAAATTAATGAATTTGACATGACTAAATTCTATTTCAACTTATGTTATATCGATAAGAGTAGATTCTGAATGATAACTCCATATCTGATTGAAAATTCATTAGATGAATTGTATATTAGTAAGAGCAGGCCCACAACAAACCACGGGACAAAAAACATATCGAAGGTATATCTCATGGTATTTGATGGTACTCCAACACACACACACACACACACACACACACACACACACACACACACTCAGAGTAAAATATTAAGATCATGTTTGTGACAAATTAAGAGTAATAGAATGCTACGTACTAGTAATCAATATATATGTATATTACTGTTTTCTATTGACATTATATTACTTTTTGCCAAATATGACCCCACACACACACACAAACTTGTATTAGACGCAGCCATTCTCTGGTATATTATTGTCTGCCCTTTCTGTTTTATAGTTATCTATCGCTAATACTCAATCACAAACATTATCATATCCACAAGATTGGATCAAATACTGTCATTCTCTATGAACAATAAATTTTCTCTTTTAAAGTTATTTTATGAAAGGATAAGATGTGCGTCTTTTCATATAAAAGTTAGCAAAAAATCCCAAAAAAATGAATTTGACAAGGTATTAAAAGAAAACAAACACGATTATATCTCCAAACTTGTATTAGATGCTTCCATTCTCTAGTACAAAGGTATCTCCTTTCTCTATTTTAAACTAATCTTCCAATACATCATTTATTTTTGTCCAAAAATAATGCCAAAAGTGAAATTATTTGGAGAACTTACATCCCAGCTCATTAACTTCTAGGAAGGTGGGCTTCTTGCAATCATTTGAGCATTTAATATATTAGCTATTGTGATAATGATGATGATAAATGGTCTATCATATAAGGAACCTATTCTTACTGGTGGTAGTACAATGAACTCAACTTCAAAAATTTTTGAAGAAGAAGAAGAAGAACAAGAGGAAGAGGGAGGTAAGAGTAAACAAGATCCACTACAGGTCTTTATTTCAAGGTTCATATCTCCCATGATTGCTCATTTTGGGCGTTACAGGTGGCTTGAGAACAACTCGAAGATACCGAAATCACGAGGCAGTGAGTTCTTCACCGGGAAAAGAGCATGAGACTACCATTCATGGTATCTATTGCTTTCTTTAAATGAATTCCTTCAACTTTTTATTTGTTAGACATGTTTATATATATATTTTGTTATTGGCAACCCTTCTGTGCTACCCATACCAGTTATTTTAAACGAGCAAAATTTTAAGTTTGTCTTGCTATTGAGTCATTTGTCATTAAAAGCTCCCCCAAAGTCTACTCATGGCGAGTTTCATTAATGACCTATTTAAGTATCATTTCTTTCATTTTCTTAGTTAAATCCCAGTATATTTCATATTCTATCTTCGCTTTATATTCAATCAGGAAGAAATATCCATGACAATGTGATTGGTTGTTGGATAATTCTTACCAAATATTGCTTCATTGTTTAGGAAGTAATATCCAAAGTGGTGCTGAAACCACAGACCAACGAACTCATGCAGCATCTCATGGTGACCAAGCAAACTCTAGTAGGGACGTTAGAGGTGATTCACCTAATCCCTGCTGCTGATCATATTGCATTAACTAGTTGACTTGATTCCTTCCTTTGACCTCCAACTAAGCATCTTTCATATCCTTATTTGATTTAGTGGTCTCATGTTCTAATGTTACGGTTTTTTGTCAGGCAAAAGTGTTAAACATCATGGCGCAACAAAGCCAGAAATTGTTGCTGATGCACAATCGTCAGTGTCACCATCTTTTGCTCCTATAATGATGTCACCTACTTTTACTGAGACTAATCAATCTTTGAATGTTGCTGAGGTGCAAGAGATAGTTGATAGGATGAAATTAGAGGGCTCTGAGACTTCCCTATTGGCAGAGGCACTCAAGACTCACCCACAACTGTGTTTGTCTACAAATGATCGAAGCACTCAAATGTTGTGCATTTCCTATAGGGTGTTGCTTGATATACTCAACATTCTTACCACCAGGACTCCCTTCACCATCACTGAGGCAGACAAGAGAGTGTTGGAAGATAAGTTAAAGGATGCATGTCTTTTTGGCTTTGACAAGGACTGGCTTGAATCTATCAAGAATAGGGTTCTTAATTGTGATTATGTATCTGAAGTTGATTGCTTCCATGAAATTCTAAAGGGTTTGGACTGTGATCTCAAGGCCAATGAGGCAATGCTGGCGGCTACACGCAATCAAGAGGTAGAGGCGGCACGAGTGGTCGAAGTGGCTCAAAAGGACTTGGATGCCGCACTGCAAGAGCATGCACGCGTTATGGCAAATCACACTCATCTTCTGAAAGCACGCCAAGATATTCTAGCAAGGCAAAATCAATGCTGGGAAACAATTGCTGCTAAAAATAGACATTTTGGGTTTTAGCTAGGATTTCATTTTTGTGCTTTATATTTGTTTTCCCATGTTGGAGTGAATGTAAATGAATGCATTTTGATGGTACTTGAATAAGTTGGGAAAATTAGGTTTTGGATGATTCCTCAGAATGAATAAATCCTGGTGTACTGATTTGTTTGGGTGCAAAGACACTGAATGTTTAATAGCTGATTCTCGATATATATTAACTTGTTTACTTTTGAATATTAAATTGTGGCTGTCAACATCATTATATCAACATACAAGAAAGCTCTGTTTTTCTTGATCTAAAACAGAGCATGGTGAGATCAATGTTCGAGGGAGGAAAATATGCCTCCGATTTTTTTTTTTTTTTTTGCCAAAACTGTGTGACCTATATTTAATGGTTCCACTTTGACTATGTTCTACTACGACTCTCATCAGTTCAAATGTGGCGGATCTAGATTTAGATTCAGCAGGAAACTAAAAGGACAAAAAATTGATTTTGACATTTTTTTCCAAATAAAAATAAAAAATATTTGGAGTATGGCAGGTCTTGAGATCCGTTAGATTGATCAATTATTGAAATTGTAATTTAAATATTTATAAACAGTAGAACGCGCTAGGTAGTGTTAATTATTGTTATTATACTTTAATCTTTTTATTTCAATTTTAATATAACATATTTGTTTTCTTTCGAAAAAAGATGACTCAATTGTTGGGTTTTTGGGTTGAACCATTCAAATCCCTCCGCCCATGGGCTTGGCTTAATTATTTACGCTGTTGATTTTCATGAGTATGCCCTTCTTCTTGTTTTTTTTTTTTTTTTGTGGGGGGGGGGGGATGAACTGAGTATGTTATTCTTAATGTCTCACCAATAAGTTATTGCATGATTATTGTTGATTATTTGTAATATATTAATCTTTAAATTTATTTAAAAATGTTAATTAGTTTCGAAGCTTAATATTATTTCCCCCCCCAAAAAAAAAGCAGTACTTTTGAACTAGATGTCAAAAGTTTAGAGGAAATAATTATATGATGATAATCCAAAACATAAACATGAAATATAAAAGGAAAATCACACAGGTTGCATGTAAGAATTCTAATTATTAAAAAGTCTTACAAAGTGAGCAAATAACTCTAAAATTTTATGTTGGCAAAAAAAGAAAAAATCTCTAAAATTTTATAAATTTTAATTGTAAAAAATTAAATTGTGAAAGGCTATCTTGTTAAGAAAAATTCAGATTCCATGCTCCGGCTCCGCTTTGAGCTTGTCATTTGTCAACAATGAAAAAATAGTTTTTTTTATTTTTTTAAATAAGAGTATTTTGGCAAATTCGCATCAAAACTTATTTGCAATTAATTCTTATTGGACTTTAGAGTTTTATGGGACTTTTTAATAATGAAAATTTACATGTGGGACCTCCATGTGACTTTCCCAAATAAAAATTAGAAAAGAACAATATCCAAAGACATTTAAACCTTCATACTATAATATGGTTGTACTCTTTGGTAAAAACCTTGCGATCATAATTTTTATGAGGCATAAGGAATATACTCTGTCAACAAATTAAAAGAAATTAATAAGTAGAGGGTCCTATATTTAACACCATTGAGAAGAGTGGAAAATGATCCTTCATCCCACATACACCAAATCTCTGAACCTTTGTTTAACGCTCACGAACGCTTCCCGTAATTGCACATTTTAGTTTCCGGTGCTCATTAGCTATGGCCAAATTTAGGCCTTTTATTTCACTTTGAAGAGATTTTTACCATTCATTTAAATTAATTTTTGAATATTTTTATTATTATATTTATTAATATAAAAATTATAAAAAATTTTGATATCAAATTTAGACGTTCTTTCTTTCATACTGCATATAGACCGTCCAAATTTTTTATTTTTAATTACATTTATAAAAAAATAAAAATTTTCAATCGATTTGTTTATCATCATTTTAGCCCATACAGATTTAATCTGAATAGTTCAATTTAAAATTAAATTTTTTTATATTTTTGTAATTTGACTACTAAGAAGTACTATTATTAGACAATTTAGATATAATTTAGATAATCTGATTTAATATTAAATTTTTTTTATAATTTTTATAAATTTATTATCTATATGTACTTTAAATAGTTTAAATTTAATATCAATATTGATTCAAAATTCACAAGACAACCTGTGTAATTTATTTTATACCTATAGCAATAAAAAAAGGCGGGCCTCAACTATTGAGTACTCTTATTTATTTATTTATTATTTAAAATCATAAAGAAGCAAGCGCTCAAATGACTTTGAGATAACTAATTCACATGTAAAACATTCCAAAGTGAAATTATTATTCTTTTAAATATATTATAGGTTTTATGCCCGATGGCTATAACTTATGCATCATGCTTTAACCATCTTTTGGTAGGATGAGTTGATTAGCAAATAAATGCCAAAGGAAAAACTTATGATGGATCATCAACAACCCAGAAATGGTAAACCGAACTTGGCAAAGGTATATCTCATGGTATTTCATTACATGAGACTTTTTTTTTTTTTTTGGGTCTACCTGAAATTATACAAGAATGTTAGGCATCTAGTATACTATTGATAAGGGAATAAGAAAAGACAGTGGCATATTCTGACTCTATTTACTTGGTGTGATGATGAAATCTTAAGGACATAATCCCTTTTCATAAGTATTTAATTTGGTCATTTATTTTTTATAAGAGGAAAATAAAGAAAAGAAAAGAAATTGCTATACTTTATATTATTTTGTTATTATTAATTTCTTTCTCTGTTTTACAATTTTCGTTCAAAAAGTGTTGACTTTTTTTAACAAAATAATGCCCTTTAACCAAAAATAATGAATTTAATGATTCTGTTTAAAATTCAAAGAAACCTTCATCTTCATATATACGTTTTTTTTTTATCCTTTTTAAAAAATTGATCTGAGAATGTAGTTATTTACTTATGAATTCAAAATAACTAGAAATTTTTTTATTTTGTACTTTTGTTATTCAGGATACTCATCATGAAGCAGCGTATGCAACTATTCAAGAAGGTCCTAATGCAAAGAAAATTCAAACAAATCAATTAGAAGATTCAAAATCTGGAAAAGCAATGCCTGCAGCCACACGTTGTTACTACTTCACAAGATGAATCTTCAAAGGTAACATGTTTGTTCTAATATAAGATGTATATAGCTTAACGGTAAATGAATTTTAACCAAACTGTAACAGTAATTGACTTGCATTTCCTCCTTTTGCTTAGTCATCTTCATATAGGATGAGTTGGTCTGCAAAGATGAGAAGAGGGAAACAAATGCAATGAATCCCCATTCACTACCCCACGAAACCAAACATGACATGCAATCAAATAAATCAAAAAAATGTTAACAATTTATTGAAGATTGAATTTCTAATTTCTAATCATCTGATTCATACATGATGCGTCTCCAAAAATGAAGCTATTCTTCTTTCAGAGAATGAATTTAATGACTTTATTTAAAATTCCAACAAATTAAAAGTATGAATTCAACATAACTGGAAAGTGAAAACATTTTAGGCCTATTTAAAACTATTTTTATTTTATTATTCTGAGAATTGGTATCTTGTAAAACATGTTTTGAGGAAAAAAATAATAAAAATAAGAGTTTTTCTTATTATCTCTTATTCGTCAGGACACTAATCCCAAAACATCTAAAAGTTATTTTTATTTTTATATTTTCCATAACAATATTTTATTTTTTGTTCTCTAAACTAATTTTTGAGAACATATTACCAAATATATTTTTTTTTGTTCTTTTGTTTTGAAGAACAGAAAACTATTCTCAAAATAAGTTGCCAGCCCTTTAATTTTGTGGGTTTTTCTATTTAGGGTGTTCAAAATCAAGTAGGGTATTCAACTATTCTAGAAGGTCCCAATGTAGAGAGAATTTAATCAACAAATCAATTAAAACAAGATGAATCTTCCAAGGTATAACATATATTTGTTCAAATATAAGGTATATATATATATATATATATATTAAAGCTGGTTGGTAGATGACTTAAAGTTACTCGATTTTCTTATTCATTTGCATATAGTATGAGATGGTCCTCAAAGATGTGAAAAAGAAAGCAACTGCAATGGATCATCATTCACTCCGGGAGACCAGACATGACATACAATCTAATGATCCAAAAAATGTTAACAATTCATCAAAGAATGAATTATAATGCTTTAACATCGTAGAAAAAGAGAAGTTAAATATCTTTATTTAATTTGGTGGTGTGCAGATTGCTGAAGAAAGAGAAGAAGATCATACTTCATTAGAGACCTTGCATCGTCCAAGCTCATCAACTTCGACAAAGGTGGGCTTCTTGCAACCATTTAAGCATTAAATAAATTTATCATTTCTATTATAATTAATGATCTATCACTTCCAATAGAAGGTACCTATTCTTATGAGTCCAAACGATGTCCTTTCACTTGGAGGCATCACCAGTAGAACTATTGAAATCTTTGAAGAGGAAGAGCAAGAGGAAGATGAAGGTAAGATATTAGTGTCTTAGTTTCAAAGTTTATAGCTCCTTTCATTTGATTACTTACATTGGGTTCTTCCTTATAGGTGGCTTGATAGCCACCAGACGTCAGAGAAATGGCATGAAGGCAAGGGGTTCTTCATCAAGAAAAGAGCACGAGACTTCCTTTCATGGTACCTATTCCGTTCTTAATTTGAATGAAATGTTTCAAGGTTTGGTTTGCAGTATATTTTAATTTTATATATTTTGTTATAGGTGACCCTTCTATGCCGCCTGGACCAATTTTTTCAAGCGAACAATCTGCAGAGATACTCTTGCCATTGAATCTAGTGCCATCAAAAGCTCCAACAAGTCCTAAGCGAACTCCCTCCAAGTTTACTCATGGTGAGTTACTTTCTTTTGCTATCAAATTTTATTAACTTTTCCTTCATTAATTTTTAATTTTTGAATAGATTTCATATTCCAACTTCGGTTCATTATATTTAGGAAGAAACATGCAAGACGATGTGGGAACTACTAAGAAACCTTTGCATCAAGCTGTGGATACTATTCAAGATTCCAGTAAGTGTTGTACTCTTAACAAGGCTTGTTTTCTCTTATCATACCTGACTTGATTCCTTGTTGAATCTGAGTACTTTGACTTTCCGAGTTTACTTTTACCATATCTCCTTTTCTAATGTGCTATGGTTCTTTTAGGGATGTCACCTATTTATGAAACCAATAATGCTTTGAGTG